TTTTTCTCTCCTCCCTCTCACCCTCTTCTCTTTTTTTCTGACTATATTAGTCACTTTCCTATTCATTCGTCTATAAGGCCACACTTGGAGAGCGATATTTAGTCAAGTCAGATTAAGATTTACGCGCATCTAGACCCCCGAGGCGTTCGTTTATGTAAATAATATAATTCATTGGCTGCTTTATCTTCCCTCATAAACATGATAATTGTTCACAATCTTTTTTTTTTCATCGCTCGATTAATTATTTATGTTGAACTTAACACCAAATCGTGTTTTTTTTAATTTTGTTTTACGAGAGTATGAAACAATGAGGGTTTTTTGGGGACGATGCACTGAGAAATTTTTTTTTTTTAATAAAAAATAAGTAACCAATCAAAAAAATATGTTTGAGTTGAATATATTTTATAATTGAATTAAATATAATTTTTATTGAATCAAACTTAAAGAAAAAGAACAAAATATTCAAGGAAAAAGCTCCGAATATTCGAAACTAAAAAGATTTAAAGATTAAATCCGCAAAGGATTAAAAACTAAAATATTTAAAACTTTAACTATTTTAAAAATAAAAAGATTCAAAAAATTTAAAACAAAAGTGGTCAAAAAATCGAAGATTAAAACTAAATATTTAAAGTTTGAATTTAAAAACAAAAATTTAAAGCCCGAATAGTCAGGCTAAAATATCAAAAAATTCAAATCTATAACCTTCTAATTTGAAAACCAAAAGATTCAAAAATTTAAAACCAAAACACTCAAAGATTTAGTTTAAAACAAAAAAATCCAAACATTTAGTTTAAAAAACCAAAAAATTCAAACATTTGTAACCAAAATATTTAAAGGTTCAAGCCAAAGGTCCAAATATTCAAACCTGAAATTTTCCAAATTAAAAACCGAAAAATTCAAAGATTCAAATTCAAAATTTTTCAAGTTTAATTAATTATGAAATTGAATAATTTAATCAGTAAATTAAGTAATTAATACACTAAATAATTTAATTATTAAATCAATTGATTATGAATTATTTTAAAAAATTTCTATGAAAAATTGTATCGATTTTAAATCAATTATAAATTATTAATTATAAATTAAGATATCATTCTAATGGGAGAAAATTTCTTTAAAAGAAATCTTAAATTGTTGCGTGTTGAGATTAAATAATCTGCGAGTGTTAAATTGTTTGATAAGTGCACCCCAGAGAGTGACGATAAAATAGCGGGTGTTTCTTTTTGTCGGGATAACGCCCACGAGACGCCTCCATCCCCAGGGATTTTTTTGAACGCTACATTGGAGTCAATTTAATAATAATAAATTCTTATTGAAGTTGTAATTAGATAATTTTTTTATTTTATTTTTTGTTATTTATTTAATTTTATTTCTCTTTTATTATTTAATTGATTTTATTCTGTTTCTCGCTTTATTATTTTTTTTTTCGTTATATTTTGTTTCACGTTTATTATTTTTTTTAAATTTATTTATTTTATAAACGATAAGGGTTGTAAATATGTTGGTCAGAAGTTTTGAAAAGAAAAACTTTTGACATGTTAATTATATTTGCAGAGTTGCGAATATTAATTTCATGTATAATATGTATTCCGCGATGGTTTGGGGAAAATTTGATCGAGAGAGAGAGAGAGAGAAAAAGCATCATGTATGTTCGATTCTTTGTGGGATTTCATGTAATTAATGTATGTAGAGTTTCTGGCGAATATTCACACGCAGAGGATAGGAAATATGTCTGTATATACGAAATATAGATATATGTATATTGCTAAACTGATGCTCCTTCGAATTCGACAAAAGGTCCTCTCTCTCTCTCTCTCGATTCTATGGGAATACACAGAAGCCATAAAGAAATTTGATACTTCGTTCCCCGTGGTGTGTGTCGTGGTGTACACCCCCTGGTCCACCGATAGTGTTCATATAGTGCTTCCCACTTCCTCTACATCACCTTTTAATACCCCCCTCCCTCTCCCCTTTATATAAACTGATATATGTAGAAAAACGTTAATTTTTCTTTTTTTTCAAACGTTTTTCAACAGTTATTCGTTTTAATATTGTATTACTCTCAATTTTCTTGGCTTGATCTATTTTTTTATTATTATTGTTAGTTTTCGAGTTTCGAAGTTCTATTTATCGTAAAAAAAATTATATTCATTTTTATCTCTCGATAAATTCGAATTTTTCGATAAATAATTTATTGGGGTCGATCTTGAAAAAAATTTTGATACTAAAAACGTTACTTTTTTCGCCACATACAATTTATTTTGCTACTATTTTTTTAAAATATGTTAATAATTAATTTTATTAATTAATAAATTAATTAGTTACTAATTAATAAATTAATTTTATTAATTAATAAATTAATTAGTTACTAATTAATAAATTAATTTTATTAATTAATAAATTAATTAGTTACTAATTAATAAATTAGTTAATTACTAATTAATTAATTAATTAAAAATTAGTTATTAGTTAATTACTAATTAATTAATTATTTAACAGGGTGTCTACTATTTTCGTTCAACAAAATTCACGGTATTTTCTCGACTTTGTCTTAATTTTTCCCGGTTTTTTTTCTCATCAAATGTAAATTCATTTGATTTCGAACATAATTTTTTTTTTTTAATAATTTTATGAAAAATTTTGAAAATAATTGAATTGTGGAGAACAATTTAATTATTTATAAAGATAATTGAAATTTTGAGGAGAATTTCAAAAAATTTTGAAATATAATTGAATTTCTGCGAAGAATTTGATTACTTTAGAAAATAATTGAATTGTTTTTTAGAATTTTATGGAAATTTATGAAAATAATTGAATTTAGTAAAAATTTTGGAAATAATTGAATTGTGGAGACCAATTTAATTAATTATTTATAAAGATAATTAAAATTTTGACAAAAATTTTTAAACATAATTGAATTTCTGCGAAGAATTTTATTACTTTTGAAAATAATTGAATTGTTCTTTAGAATTTTATGGAAATTTATGAAATTAATTGAATTCTTGTGAAGAATTTATTTTTTAAAATATACTATTCAAAAGAATTTAGTAAATCTGAAGAATTTTGCTATTTATGGAAATAATTGAATTCTTGAGAAGAATTTTTTTTTACAATTTCTAGAAATAATTGAATTCTTTCGACTTTCAAAAATTTTTAATTAATTGTTTATAAAAATTCAATTATCTTGAAACAATAGAATTAAAAAATTTTAAAAATCTTATTTTTCAGAATTTTCAAAAAAACTTTGAGAAAATTCAATTTTATTAAAAAAATTTAAGTGTTTATCTTTTTTTAAGTTAACAAATATAAATTTTAATTATTAATTTTTGCACCAAGAAACATGAGTACATTAGAATGTGACTCTTTATAAAATTCAATTATTTATCAATTATTAAATTAAAATATTTAAAAAATTAAAAAAAAAAAAAAGTTAAAAAGTTTTTAATGAAATTCTTTTAAAACAATTTAATTATTTTCAGTTGAATTTCACAAAATTTCTATAAATTCGATAATTAAAAAAAAAAATTTATTTACATATTAAATTTAAATCAGTGACTAATTTTTTTACTATCAAATTAATTATTTTTAACAACGTTTTGATACGTTTTTTTGTCTCAGTTTGATATCCTTAGAAAAACTGAGTATTTATAATATTTATAAAGTTTTATAATAATAATAATACTTTTTAAATTTTTATCGAAAGAAATGTTATGTTATTTATTGCATAATTTAGAATTTTGAAATTGAAAAGGAAGAAGATTTAGGTATTTACTATTTTTTCAGTAAATTTTAGAGGATTATTTTGACATTTTGAAAAATTGTGCTTTTCACAGCGGGAGAATCGTCACCCATAAACATATGTATATATATATATCTATATATATAAACTTTGAACTAAAAGTCAAGCGTTTGCTCGGTCGAATCTAAAATCAGATCTGGAGCAACGACCTTCGAAAGAAACACGAACTAAACTTTCCGTCCCTCAATTATTTCAAATGTCTAATTTCTTTTTATGGTTGAAAAATTCTCGGAAAATTTTTTGTCTTCTTTTTTATTTTTCTTTGGGTAAATTTGCGGTTTTTGATTTTAGATTTTTATCTCGTTTTTCTCTTTCTTTCTTTTTATGGGTATTTTTAATCTGGTGGTTGAATCTTTTACACTGAATATATTCCAGACTGTGCGTGTATGTGTTTCTCAAAATATTAGGTACAGCAACTTTGACTTTTATTTTTTATTTTGACTAGAGGAGGAAAAATTTATTTGATTCAAATAAACGATTACTTGTTTGTTATCAAATAAATATATGTACTTGAATCAAATATATTTTATTGAATTAAATAATTTAATATTAAATTATTATTAAATAATTAAATAATTTAATATTAAATTATTATTATTATTATTAAATAATTAAATAATTTAAATTAAATAAATTGTATTCGAGTCACTGATTTTAATTTGAATTACAACTGATTTGAAGAATATTCACTAATTTTTAATTTTTATAGAATATTCTAATTGGTTCGAACCCTGAGAAATTCATCGAAAGTTTAATTATTGAGTGATGACTGTATTTTCTTTTTTTTGTTACAATTTTTTTTTCACTAAATTTTTAATTAAAAATGCGACTTTCTAGTAATTTCTAGAAATTCGACGAATATATATTCGTAAAATTTCTTGTCAGAGAGAATAAGTGCGGTTCAATTTTGACTTATAAAGATTCACTGAAAAAGGATTAAAAATTAAATATGAGAATATTAATAAAAATGAAATATTTTACCTAAATTTCTATTATAATTCAGAATGAGTCGATTCTGAATTATTATTTTTAATTTAAACGATAGGATGTGTGTATAGGCAATTGTTTAGACCTTGAATATAAATTTGAACCGGATATTAAGGAGCGTTTTGTCTATGTTTCGCATCCTCTATTCTACATGGTCGAGTGATTTTGTAAACTGCAACTTATACATTATAATATAATGAAATGAATGACTTACCTATGCTCAGCAGCTCGATCTCGTTGTCTTCGATTCTTGAACCAATTGCTAACTTGAGTCGTGGTGAGACCCGTATTTTCAGCTAATTCCCGTTTTTCACGTGGAGACGGATAAGGATTCGCTGCATACCAATCCCTCAGAATGCTCCTCGATTTCTCCTTAAAGCAGTAGGATGTCTCCTCCCCGTCCCAGATTGTTCTTGGTAACGGGAATTTACGCCTCACTCGATACTTCCCTTTAGAAATCAATTTTAAACTCTATTATTTCAATTCTATTATATTTTCATCGCGGTTATTTTTTTTTTTTTACTCTTTCTGTTATTTTTTTGACTCTTTCGCTGTTATTTTCAACAATTAGGTACTTTTTTAAATCAATTAGTCTTTCTACCGATGTCAAAAAATTCCTTGGAAGTACCCCCTGGAAATTCTCCAAGTTTTTTATTTTAAAAATATTTTAACATTACCAAGTTTGTCATAGGTCAGGAAAATCAGGGAAAAATCAGAGATTTTTATTAAAGCACTGGAAAAAAATTGAATTTTCAAAAATTTTAATAAAATTCTTGGCAAAATTTCAATTATTTTGTCAAAAATTTTCCTAATCATTTTCAATATCTACTATTTTATAATAAAATTTTTCAAAAGATTTCAATTATTTAAAAAAAGTGTTGATAAAATTTAAAACAAACATTACATTATTTTCAAAAATAATAAAATTTTTTACCGAGATTCAATTATTTTCATGAATAATAAAACTTATCATATAATTTCAATTATTTTTAATACAACTTTAATCGAATTCCATCGAAAAATGTAATTATTCTTGAAGATTTTATTAAAATTCGTCGAAAAATAATTGAATTATTTAAAAATTTGTTGATAAAATTCTTTATGAGGATTCAATTTTGAAAAACATTCATTTATTCAATAAATTATTTATTTGCATTTTATTTGTGTTTAAATAATTGAATTCTCGTGGAATTTTCTAATAAAAATTGATTTAAAAATGAATTTCAGTTAAAATTTTACATAATAATTGAATATTAAAAGTATTACAGCAAGAATTTTTGAAAATAATTGAATTTTGAATATTTTTGAAAATAATTACATTTTTTGAAGAATTTAGTTAAAAATGTATTAAAAATAATTGAAATCATGTGAAGAATTTTATTATTTAGGAAAATAATTTAATTCTTGTAAAGAATTTTGATTAAATTTTTTTTAAATAATTGAAATCCTGTCAAGAATTTATTGTATTATTTATGAAAATAATTGAATTCTTGTAATGCATTTTACTATATTTTTTTAAATAATTGAATTGATTTAAAAAATTTTATTAAAATAGTAGATTTTGAAAATATTTTAATTTCATCGAAGAATTTCATTATTTGTGAAATGTAATTGAATTCTTGCAGAAAATTTTTAAAAATAATTAAATTTTTTAAAGAATTTATTTAAAATTGTATTAAAAATAATTGAATTCATGTGGAGAATTTTATTACTTGTAAAAATAATTGATTCCTCGAAAAAATCAATTATTTAAAAAAAGGTTATAATAAAATTCTTTGAAAGAATTCAACTATGTCGATAAATGACAAAAATATTCCCGAAAATTCAATTATTTTGAGGCATTTTAATAAAATTCTTTGCAAAATTCAATTATTTTCAAAAATAGCAATAATCATGATAGGAATTAAATTATGTTTATTATATTAAAACTTATCACAAAATTCAATTATTTTTAGAAATATTTATAAAATTCTTCGCAAAAATTCAATTATTTAAAAAAATTAATACACTTCCTAAAATTCAATTATTTTTTAAAAATTTTAAATTATTTTTGAAATTTTTTTATAAAATTCTTTGCGCCAGTATTCAATTATTTTCATAAATAATAAAATTCATAGCAGGATTTCAATTATTTTTAATACAATAATTTTACAGAAATTGATCAAAAAGAGGAAAATGTAATTATTTTTAAAAATTTAATTTCGATTCCTCAAAAAATACAATTATTTAAAAGAAAGGTTTTTTAAAATTCTTTTGAAGAATTCAATTATTTACAAAAATAATTCTTCGAAAGAATTCAATTATTTTGAGGCATTTTAACAAAATTCTTTGCAATATTCAATTATTTTCATAAATAACAATATTCATCACAAGAATTCAATTATTTTTAAAAGTAATACATTTTTTTTTAAAATTCAATTATTTTGAAAAATTTTAATAAAATCGTTCGCAAGAATTCAATTATTTTCATAAATAATAAAATGCGTTTTTGGAAATCAATTATTTTCAAAAAAAATTTAATAAAATCGTAAAAATCCCAAATATCTTTATAAATAACAAAATTCTTTTCCAAAGCTCAATTATTTTCATAAATTTCAAAAAAATTCTTGTCCTAATTTCAATTATTTTCAAAAAATTTTCTAATTTCAATGATTTTCAATATCTACTATTTTAATAAAATTTCCCAAAACGAATTCAATTATTTAAAAAAAATTTTAATAAAATTGTATGTAAACATTTAATTATTTTCATAAATAATAAAAATTTCACAGGAATTCAATTATTTTCGTAAATAATAATTTTTTTTTAAGAAATTAAATTATTATTTTCATAAAAAATAATTTAAAATTCTAGAAAATATTAATTGAATTAAAATGATGAAAATAATTTTGATGAAGTTACAGTAACAATATTCTTATAATATAAAATAATGATTTTATCTCTCGGTCATCTTTAATTATTAGAAAACATGAAGAAATCGATTACTCCGAGTCTTCGACTCGGAGCAATTGATATCTTCATGTTTTTTAACAAATACTTTTATAAGTTGTTTAATTTAAAAAAGATTTGAAATTGAAATTTTTTAAAGTCTTAATTCCTGTGGAAAATCCTGTTTCAAAAATATGATTAAAAATAGAAATTGTGCAAATATTTTTCTTCTTTTTCTAAAACAAAATAATAATTTTGTTAAAAAAATTGTGATTCATAAAGAAAAATAATGCAAAATAAATAAATTTTCTATTTCTTAATCACAGTTGTTTAACAATTTTCTAATTTTGTTTAGAAGTAAAGAACAAAAATAATTTAAATTTGACGAAACATAATATTTAACAAAATTTTAGTTTTTTAAAGAAAAGTAGTTAAAAAAAATTCTGATGATTTCTATTTGTCATTGCAACTTTAAAATAATTATAAAATAAAAATAATTTTATAATTTTCAAAATATTAAAAATCATCGAATTGTTGCAAAGAATTTTATCAAAAAATTTGATAATAATAGAATTCCTTCAAAGAATTTTATTATTTAGGAAAATAACTGATCTTTGAATTTTTTTAAACTAATTGAGTTTCTTTAATAATTTCAATTGCAAATTTTGAAAGCAATTGAATTTTATGAAGAAGAATTTTATTTAAATTGCATTTAAAATAATTGAATTCTTGCGATGAATTTTAATATTTATAAAAATAATTGAATTGTTTCAAAGAATTTATTAAAAGATTAGGAAATAATTGAAATTTATGGAAATATTTAAAAATATTTTAATTCTTCCGAGGAATTCAATTAAAATTATTTTGAAAATAATTGAATTTTTGTAAAGATTTTACTATTTAAAAAAATAATTGAATTTTTTTGGAAGGATTTATTATAATTTTAGAAAATAATGGAATTCTTTCGTGAAAACTTCAGAGTGTGAGGGACAGAAAAAGTGAATGAATGAAAGAACATTCAAATTATTATAATAGTTAATTATAGTTAATTATAGTTAATTTTTGAATAATATCCAAATTTAGAGAGTGCGATTATATTCTAAAAGCAGTGTGTGTTTAGTGCGATTTTGAATTTCCTCGAAAAAGATTTGGTACGGCGCACGTGTGCGTTGGGTTTTCAGTAGTGCATAGGGATCACAGAGAGAGAGATATGAGACTCGCTCTCATATTATTCAAAAGCAAGTCGAGCAAAAGCTTTTTGACTCTCGATCGCCACGCGCGAGTCAAGTGACGAAGGTTTCAGTTGCCAAAAGAAGGTATATAAACCGGAAGCGAAAGAGAGAGCGATATACGACGTCTTCTATATAATGCAAAGGGATCTAATTGGTTTCCCGGTTCGTTAAAGTCTCTCCCGTGTCTGTCGCACTTGCAGGCATCGTGAATTGTCGTTTGGAAATGAGGTCGTGAATAAAATTGGCTGTCGCGAGTACTCGAGTAGAGCTAAGAGGAAGCGAGGAAAAAGCAAAAAAAAAAAAAAAGAATAAAAAAAAATAGACGTTCAGATGACTCTTGACAGCGTCCGAGATTGCCATCATCATCATCATCAGCATCTCGAGATGATGGCTATACGAGTAGTTCGTTTGATCTATTTTCTGTATTAGCAAATAAATTATGTTTCGAAGTATATTCTGTTGATTTAGAGAAGAAGTGAATTTTAACAGTTTTTCTAAAGTATTGTATGTAATTAATTAAAAGTTGATTTATTTTTGTTGGTAAATTTTTTAAGGAAATTATAATTTGTTGGCAGTTTTTCTAAGGGTATCAAATTGAGACAAAAAACGCAACATCAAAGCAACACTTTTGGTTCGTTTTTCGACTCAAGTTGATATCTACAGAAAAACTCTGGGGCCTTTTGTTAATTTCTTTAGGAAAATTTTTCTTGGTTGTTTAGTCTTTTTTAAGCGAATTTTATTGGGCGAAATAAACATAAACATTTGTTGGGCCTTTTATTTATTGTTTTTCAAACTTTGTTGGGCCTTTTGTTAATTTCAGGCCTCGAACCAGTGAAGTATTTTAAAATATGAACTTTACGGAACAAAATTGAAAAATTGCGGACCAATCGAAAAAATCGATCGATTTTTTTAAATGTTTTATAACAGGATAGTTTTTGGCTGAAAAATAAACACAAAATAATTTATTATAAATAAATAAAAGAATACTAACCAACAGCACCTAAGGGCCTTCCTCTCAGTTTCTCGGACTCGATGTAGTGTGCAGTGAGCCAAAGTGCTTGGAGTTTAGGATGATTGTGCGTACTAAAATTGTGGCTTTCCAATAATTTGTAGAGCTCCTTAAAATTTCCCCGATGAAATGCTACGATGGCCTTTGCCTTGATTACACTCTCGTGACGGTGTAATCGCGCACAGCCCGGGAGTGACCATAGAAACCTGTTAAGCCTCTCCACTGATCCAGATTGCTGGAGAACCTGGACAGACGACACCATCGCCTTGAAGACGATAGACAGGAGGGGCACACTGTTAGTCGACAGAACTCATCCCGATCTCCTCTTACTCTAGCGTATCTTGCATACTTTTTTTTTAATTCAATTTTTTCTTTTTTTCACAAACTAATTTTTCCAAATTGAAATTTTTTCTCTACCTCGAATGCTGAGGGAACCTAAAGAAACGTTTCTTTCGACTGTCCCGTTAATATATTCTAAATAAATTTGTTTTTTATTTTCTCTATTTCTTTTAAATAATCTCCCTAAAATTGGCTTTAAATCAAATTTTATTTAGTGAAAGTAAAAGTTTTATTTATTTCGAATGAAATTTTTATTTGAAACAAATAAATAATGTACCCAGAGAAATATTTTATTTAAATCAAATATATTTTATTTCAGTTAAATAAATGTACATATTTAAATCAAATATATTTTATTTCAGTTAAATAAACGTACATATTTCAATCAAATAATTCTTATTGAGTCAATTAAATTAATTAATTAAATTAATTAAATTAATCACAATTAAATGTTATTTGCAGGGTTGCCGCAGGTCAGGGAATTCAGGGAAAAATCAGGGAAAGTAGAATTAATAAGAGAAATCAGGGAAAAGTCAGGGATATTTTATTAATTATTAAAAATAATGGATTTATATTTAGAATAATTTTAGTTAAATTTTCTCAAAAATAATTGAATTTTGGAGAAGTTACAATAAATAATTGTAGAAATGCAATTATATTTCAAAAGTAATAAAATTCTTCACAGAAATTCAATTATGTTCAAAAATTAAAAAAAATTCTCTTAAAAATTTCAATTATTTTTACAAATAATAAAATTCTTCTCCGAAATTCAATTATTTTCAAAAATTGTAATAAAATTCTTGAAAAAATTTCAAGTAATTCAATTATTCCGAATTCTTCGAAAAATTATTCGAAAAAATTATTCTTAAAAATTTTATTAAAATTTATCAAAAGAATTCAATTATTTAAAAATTTATTGATAAAATTCTTTATGAGAATTCAATTATAAGAAAGATTCAGTTGTTCAATAAATTGTTTTGTTTATATTTAAATAATTGAATTCTAGTAGAATTTTCTAATAAAAATTGATTTAAAAATGGATTTCAGTAACAAGTTTAGATTTTAATTAAATATTAAAAGCATTAGAGCTATTTAGCATTTAGCTAATTTTTAAAAATAATTGAATTTTGAAAATGTTTCAAATTAAAATCTTTAAAAATCTGAATTTTTCATATTTTTAACTAAAAATTCAGTGGAATTAATTTTTTTTTGAGAAAATTCTCAAAGAACTTTTTCGTTGCAGAAATTCAATCATTTTCAAAAATATAAAAAATGTTTAACAATTTAAAAAAATTCTTGTCATAATTTCGATTATCTTTATAAATAATAAAATTCTCTAAAATTCAATTATTTTCAGAAATTGTAATAAAATTCTTGGAAAAATTTCAAGTATTTTCAAAAATTTTCCTCAATTCAATGATTTTTAATATCTATTTAAATAAAATTTTTAAAAAGAATTTAATTATTAAACAAAAATTTTAATTAAATTCTACGCAAACATTTAATTATTTTCATTAATAGTAAAAATTTCAAATGAATTCAATTATTTAAAATTTTTTTTTATAAATTTCTACGCAATAATTTAATTATTTTCATGAATATTAAAATTTTTTTTACAGCGATTCAATTATTTTTAATACAATTTTATTCGATTTCCAAAAAAATGTAATTATTTTATTTCTTAAAAATTTTATTAAAATTCGTCAAAAGAATTCAGTTATTCAAAAATTTGTTGAGAACATTCTTTATGGGAATTGAATTTTAAGAAACATATTCAATTTTTCAGTAAATTATTTATTTTTGTGTTTAAATAATTAAATTCTCTAATTCTCTAAAATTGTTTAATAAAAATTTATTTAAGAATGAATTTTACGTAAAAATTGAATATTAAATTATAGCAATGATTTTTAGAAATAATTGAATTTTGAAAAGTTAAAATCTTTGAAAATTTGAATTTTTCATACTTTTAACCAACAATTTTGTAGAATTAATTTTTTTGAAAAATTTTAATTGATTTTTTTGGAAATTATTTACAATTGAAGAATTTCTGAATAATTTATTAAATTTCGTAAAATTTAATTTTAAACAAGTGAATTTGAGAGTTCTCAAAGAATTTTGTCAAAAATTGGTAAATATAATTAATTTATAGAAGAAGTTTTGTTAAAAATTGAATAATTTTTTTAATTAAATTCGTAAACAAATGTAATAGAAAATTTTTTTGTGTATCTAATAATTTTTAGAGTGAATCAGAATATTCTTCAAGTTCAGGGAAAAAGTAAAAATTTTGTCTGGAAATCAGGGAAAAGTATAAATTTTTGTGGCAACCCTGTAAAAATTATTTAATTTAAGTAAATATTTATTTGACAATAGACGAGTAATTATTTATTTGAAACAATTAAATTTTTTCTTCAGTGAAGTAATAAGATACAAAATGAAAAAAAAATTTTAGAAAAAATATATTTTGACATTAAAATTATAAAAAAAGTAATTAAAGTAAGTAAATGAATAAAAATTCAACGACGTTTCTTTAGGCTGTGAATTAATCTGAAGGGGATCGTTTGCTAATAAAGAAAAAAGAAAGTATAAAAGGCTTATTGTTGGCAAAAAAAAAGATTCATTTTAATTTTGTTTTATCATCTCAATCAGTATTAGGAAAAAAAGAAAGAAAAATATTAAACCGATGAAGACTTATAAAGTCATTGACCTTTAACGAGATCTTAAGTGAATCAATAATTGGCTTTGCTTCCGATTACTCGTTGACAAAACTCACCTCGAGGGGCAATTAAATTAAAATTGTTATCGATAAAGGGTGCGATTGTAAAAATTAGGAAAAAAAGAAAAACTATAAAGAAAGTATTCTTTAAAAGTCAATAATAATAAAAAGAAAAGAAAAAGAAACTTTGATTCCATGATAATATCAAAAATCGAAAAATTTGTTTCTTTGAGAATATTTTATGAATGAGAGATACAAAAATTCTAATGAAGAACGGTTTATGAAATCACCCTGTATATCGATTAATCGTTAGTAATATAATAAAAAAAAAATAGAAATAAAAAAAAGGTGCGAGTCGTTTTCCACGAAGACGATCCCCGACAGGCATTCGAGGAACATGCAAATTTGCTCGGACACTTTTTAGTCCCAAACCGTGAGAAAAACGTGTCGTCGATCAATTTAAAACAATTTTTTTTTTTTTTTTTGATTCTTCAGAGGTCAAACATTATTATTCACATGGGATATACAATTAATTTCCATGAACGATTCATTTCTTTTGTCGAAATTGATGTAAATTGTTTTGAATAATATTCCGGAGTGCGGAAAAAATTACACCATTCAAACAATTTGACATTTTTATTTATTTTATTAATCATTATTTTTTTTCGATAATAATTGTTTGATTAGATAGCAATTAATTAATTATTTTATTAATTATCTTTATTTTTATATATATAATTTTATGAATTATTCATTTATTAAAAGAAAATAATAAAAAGAAAATTTTTCGGCAACAATAATTATAATATTTAATAAAACATTGAATTTAACGATTATAATAATTAATTAATTATTAGTTTATTTAAAAAAAAGAATTATAGTAGAGAAAATAATAATTATAAAAAAATAATTTAAGTGACAAATATCAATTATTTGATATAAATTAAATAAATATTTATTCGACAAAAGACAAGTAATCGTTTAGTTGAATATTAAATAATTTTTTTTTTCTAATAAAAAATCGAAAATTAGTTTTTAAGATACGTTTTTCTTTCGGTAGGTTTCATATAAATATATTTATATAAATATATATAATTTAGGGATACAAGACAACTGAAGCTCCCACGTCAGACGGAAATATTTTCTCTCTCTCTAAAAAAAAGAAAGAAAAAAAATACGTTAAAAATATAATCAGTGACATTTCAATTCCGTTTCGAAACAACTCCATAAATATCCGTCTAACGTAGGTAAGGAGTTATAACGGCTAGCAGTGTACAATAATTTTATTAGAAATCATCGCATTCGTTTAAGAAACATTAAATAAATATTATGATGTATATAATAATTTTTAAACATTCAACACATTTCAGAAAATAATTTCTTTCATTCAAAGATAATAATTTTAATAATAATTTTTTATATGCAATTTTAATTTGTCGATGATGTTCGAATTAAATTTTTTTTTACGAAGACTGAAAATATTCTTTTACAGTGAAATTAGTTATTTATTGAGAAAGAAAAATACTGTCGACACTTTAGATTCTACAGAATAATATACAAAAACTAATAAACAAATTGATTAATTTCTTTTCTTCTTTTTTGATTAAAATTCTAATTAGTAAATTATTTTTTTCACAAACTGTTTTTAATTTTTTTTTTTAGTTTTGCACCCAAAAAAAAAAATTTATTTTAATCAAATATATTTTGAATTTTATTTTTAAATAAAAATATTTTTGTCTCAGTGATTACTAAAATATTTATTTCAACTAAATAGAGTTTATTTGATCCAAGTGCAATTTATTTAAACCAAGTAAACTTTATTTGAACCGAATAAAATTTATTTGAGCAAAGTAAAATTTATTTGAACTAAGTGAAATTTATTTGAACCAAGTAAAAATTATTTAAAGAAAGTAAAGTTTACTTGAACCAAGTAATATTTATTTGAATCAAGTAAACTTTATTTGAACCAAGTAAACTTTATTTGAACCGAATAAAATATATTTGAACAAAGTAAAATTTTTTTTTATCAAAGTAAAATTTATTTGAACCCAGTAAACCTTATTTGAACCAAGTAAACTTTATTTAAAACAAAGTAAAGTTTATTTGAACCAAGTAAAAATTATTTTAAACGACCAAGTAAAGCTAAGTAAAGTTTATTTGAACCAAGAAAAAATTATTTGAACGAAGTAAAATTTATTTGAACAAAGTGAAAT